AATAATGCTTTGAAACGGTAACTCTCTCCTATCAATTAGGTCTCCACTAGCAACTGCAGTGTTAGAGCTCTTTCAAGAGACTCCTCAAAGACATGTAGAACTCAGTATGTTGATTTTGCACATATAATTCATCTTACAGCAGCATGATTTTTTTTTCTTCCTGTCCGTAGTACTTAGCCCAGTTTGAAATAACCCTGCCCGCCAGTTTTAAAAGACAAACAAAACCAAGTCTAAATGCTTCATCAGTATTCTTTATTTTTGCCCAAAACTACATAATACATATTCTCTGAAGTGGTCCTTCAATTTTGGAATTCCCTCCCTAGTATAGCAAGAGCATGTTAACACCCATATTCAGTGTTTGTATTTCAGGCCTAGTCTGAAGTAGATGATCTCGAACACAAGGAGGAAAAACCTTAAAATACTAGCCCTACTTGCATACAGAACCCAGTTGCATTTTTATGCAATTTTCCAATGTTAGTGGAAATTTAAAGGTGGTGTATAGTAGTATCATAGTAAATCACACAATCATAGTAAATGTGTTACTGCAAATCAGTAGCAGATTATTAAGCAAAGCAGCTATGGATTCACCAGGAGAGATACCATTTGAAGTGTTCCAGCTCTCAACTCTTCTTGTACTCCATTAAGTATAGCAAAGCAAGTGCTTTGACACTAGCCATCAGGATTCCTATTGAAGTTTGGCTAGCCTGTCAAGCACCATAGACCTGTATCTTTTATTGTAAGTAGGTAGAGCCAAGGACTCAATAACCCACTGCCACTATTTCCTAGTTACTGTCATTTCCCCTCCTCAACAGAAGTTAGTGCAGATTCAACTACACTCAAGTTCAAAAATTGCTGTTAGCTGAGCCCAGACGGTGTGGCTCCTACATGCAGTATAGCCTTTCCTATGCTCCTTCAGAGATAGGAGACAGAAGTGTTTCTTAGAAACAGTTTAAAAATAGGATCTGACAACTGCCCAGCATGCCTTTATAAGCTTATGAGCTTACTCCAGCATATGAATGCTGGGATAATGGAGCACAGCTTTGGAGATTGCAAAGTGTAGCACCACCCTGATAAAAGAAATAATTTCATTTTGTGAAGAGTAGTCTTCCAAATCAGGATAGCTGTGACGACATTTTAAGTAACATGCTCTTACAAAGAGTTTTTTAATTAGAAGGCCCATAGTTCTTCTGGATGCATTTTGAGACAACTTACCCCGTCTCAGCAGATAAGACTACATTGAGCAATCTATCATCAGCCCAACAACATTGGGCCACAAACACTGTGGTCCAAAATGAAGCAGCACAACCATTGCACAGTTTAGCACTTACTGGGGAATAAAGCTGGCAAAAGACCTCTTAGACTAGAGACTAAATTACTCTCTCAATTTCATGACCAGCTGTAGTCTCACTTACAGTCTCTTCAAGGGATTGCTTTGCCTACACTAATAAAGCATCACAGCTCTGCACCTCCAGTTCTTTTTTTTCTTTACTTCACTTAAATTTGGGGAAATCACATGACAGTCATCTAACCTGATAAGGAAAGGCAGGAACATAGGAGGCAAGGAAAAGAGGGAGTTTAGCACAAGAATTAGATGCTAATGATTGTTTTCCAGATAGCTCTTCAGCTTAAGTTCTATTTGTGCCCTCCCCACTAGTTTTGACACACCCCAGATCTGCCACACAAGGTAGTTTTGGACTTGTATTTGCTTGGTCTATTGCAGCTGTACTAACACTGGATCAAGCAGCTATCACAGATCTGTAACACATGACAACCAACCGGACAGAAAGACACATACTAATTCCTATAGATCAGATACTAAGAATTGAACTCCACCAATACAAAGCTTCATTAGTTGACAATCTACTGAAGTTTGCAGGAAACAAATCCATTATTATAGCCAGTGGTATTCAGTATCAGAGAGCTACCCATTCCGAGTATACCATCCTGCTGTCAGACTTCTGTACTTCTGAAACTGAGTCCTAATAGGCCACACTGAGCAGGACTACGGCAGTCTTCAAAAGCTAAACCTCTGAAGAGACATGAAATACTGCTGCACTCAAGCTGCATTTCTACTTTTGAATAAAAACGACTGCATGACTGTGCATCATGAACATGCTAGCAGATGGTGCTTCTATACTTGACCACAGGAGTGCAGGAAATTTATTTGTTGAGCCTGTGGTTGTTCTCTACCTCTATTAAAAAGCTCCCTCCTCCAGACAAATCACAGTAAGAAGTTTCAGCAGAGATGAGGAACCTCTTTTGTCAAACACTTAATAACCACACAAATATGGCAGCCAAGTTTTGTTTGGTCTCCAAGCTTACAAGCAACACAAACACTTCGTTTCTCTCTGTGACAGAACCACCTTCAGCTGCAGCTCTGGGATGCTGGAACCCACAGTTCAGTAACTTCCTGACTCTAGCACAGCTCAACTCTCAGAAAGTGGCAGTATTTTCCCCCATTTTCTTCCTAGAGATCCTCAAGAACCACCATTGTGCTTACACTGCCTGCATCTTAACACTGACTGAGGACAGAGCTCAACACTGTTCTCCAAAGCAACCAGAACTTCATCAGAAAGACTCTACTTCAAATAATAAGGTCATGCTAGAAGAAGAAAACAAACCACTGCCCCACTTCACTACCTAAAGGTCATACAGTGAGCTGGACTTAGTGCAAATTCCCACTAATCCTGGGATTAGCAGGGCACACAACAGCTTTAAACTTGCTCCTTTAAGTGAGGAACTCAACTGTTAAGAATTGTAGAACCAGCCAATAACTTCTTTTTCTTCTAGAGAAAAAAACCTTACTCATCTTCTTCTAGAGAAAAACACCTTACTCATCTCAACTTTTCTGAAAAAGCTCATCATAACACAAAGCCTGAAGTGGTGTGCAAAGGAAGTTCCTGCCCTGCTGCTGTTCAAGCTTTGAACAGTCTTTCCACATCCAGGTGGATAAACTGATCAGCTGGCAGCCACTGGAGCTGCTCTACTACATGCAAATAATGCATATTCATTTGACTAGTGACTACTGTGACCCACAGGTGTAACTTTTTTTTTTTTTTTTTAAGATTAGCTCAGAACCCATCCAGTAAGAGTAATTCTTCACTGAATACCCCAGCTATTAGATTATCAGTCACTTCTGGAAGAAGCAAGCGTATTCCAAGTTTTACCCTGTTCCAACAAAATAAGCTCCTTAAGTCCAAAATCCCGTGAACACTTAACTAGGCTACAGTTGAGAAGAAATAACATTTCACTTATTTTTGTAGGCTATTGTTTCAGTGAATCTGAAATGATCTTGCCACCTATAACTGCAAGTCAATCTAGCAGTGCCTTACATACTCTTAAAGTTTTGAACTTTGAGTATGCTTGACTCCTTAAGCAGTGATTCTGGCTGCACTAGCCAAGTGCCTTTAAGAGTTGCCTCTCAAAATTCCCCGAAGAACTGCATCTTTGCTAAGAAAAAACACACCTAATTTCACTAACAGTTAAAACCTGCACATCTCCATTCTTCCTGCAGCTGCTTCTTCCTACTCCTGTTCAAGCAGGAGTGTTTGTGAAGCCATGCAATGAACACTCACATTAGAAAACCACCCATTACAATCAGGCTTATGCTAGATGCATTCTTCTCTTCTACTTCCCACACGATCACTTGCACCATCAAAAAAGGGGTGGTGCAGAAGCAAGAATGAACAGCTAGGAAAAGGTGCAGGATCATCTTTCAGCATGAGCACCACTTCAAATGTTTCAACTATGGCATTAATGCATACTCAGATCTATTACACTGTTAGTATCTCTCTACTTTCTCCCCTAAATACCCTTGAACTCCTGTCAGTCCCTTTGTAAGGCTAAAGGTAAACAACAGTGTTTAAATAACAGATCTTAGCAAAGGCACAGACCACATATACATGCACAGACAGGCTATCATGGCAAGTTAGAACCACAAATCTAACTGCTGGAGAACATCCAGCCAATTGAAATATCCTTATTAAAAAGGAAATAATTGTAGGCCAGTAGAAATTGTTTCTCTCCCTGGTAGGCTACCATAAATGCAAGCTACATGCCTGTTTTTACCCAGTCTCCCTCTCCTACAGCTCCTTTTGCTCCCCTCACGTTCCAGATTAAGACACTGCTTGCATCAGACTGGCCTTTGGGCAAATCCCCTCCCCTGAGGTTTCCATCTCAAAGTAGTAAGTGCATTTGTTTTCTTACTCATCTCCTGCAGCTGAAGTAATTCAGAATGCATTAGACATTGTTTTGAGACTGCACTGCAACACTGCTGGAGTCACTGCTTCTTTGAAGATAACTAATAATGCTTCCCTGAGAACAGCTAGTAGAATAACCTTGAAACAAACAAACAATATTAAGAGCTCATTAAAACTTGCCTTCACATCTACAGCTGCATAAAAGCATAGAGACACCTCAATTCAAATACTGCTGTGATAAGCTACCAGTTACACAGAGAACTTTTAAAGTATTTCACTTCTTCGTTTTCAAAGCAAAATCTGGTATTAATGTGAGCTACCTAAAAGGGTGCTTTAAGAATTAAAGCTCTAGCTGCCATAGTTAAGCTTTTGATTTCCAGGTATTCTATATAAACTACTCTATAACATAAGCATTCAAACTGCCCCCTTACAGTGAGGTAGGCAACTACTCCTTATTTCGTAATTATGGAATACATGCCTAAATGCAAGTACTAATAAAATAGAAATGTGTTTTTTTCCTCATTTTCAGTTCAAATTAATGTTCTTCGTTTAACACATCTGCAAGGAAATATTCACAATGTCAGGTCCCAAATAAATCTGTCCTGTATCAAAAGAATCATTGTACACAGAAAGCCTCTCTGGAAGCTTCCATTACAAAGGGAGTATTTACCTTGTGTCATGCTGTGCCTACACAAGAAGAATCAGTAATCCAGTCACTTAAACATTTGGTCAACAAACCAACTGCCTCCTCATAACATCATTTGCAGTAATTTTTTTTTTTTTTTTTTTTTTTTTTAGAAAAAGTGCCTATCAACCTCTAGGACTTAAGAATCCTGCTCTTTAGTCTGCACAGAACAAAATTAGTTGGTGCAATGCTCTGCCAAGAGCCACCACCTGACGCTCAAAAAAAGGGGGGGCTGTTCTTTTAGGAAGCAGAGCTTATATCCTAAAAGCTCAAATGAGACTTCAAACTTTCGAGAGCTTCACACTGTGTCATCCTTAATTACCGTCTCCTCCATTTCTTTCCCGGTATCCTTTATATGACCTACAAAGGAAAAATGTAGCACTATTAGATGCTTCCAATCCTGTTCTTCTACCCCTCCTCCAACAACACACAGAAGCCCTACAGGCTGTATCTGCAACTCATATGGACTACTTACAGTAGCTCCCAAGTTCCCAGTCAGTTCTTATGTAACTAGACTCCACCTCACCATATTATTTATGTAACACGTATTAAGTAGCGTCTATTATATAGGAGTCTTCTATATTAGTCATATACTCAGCTACTTTCATTCCAGTAGTTCTCATACAACACATTCACCAAATATTCAAGCTTTATCCCCCACCAGATTACTACTGTGGAGGAAAAAAGAAAAAAAAAAGATTCACATCTATCTGGGGACAGACTGAGAACAGAAGTAGTGCTATGAAACATTTCTAAATGGAACAAACGACCACCCTTAAAGCATCAGCAATTTTAACTGTTAATTTGTTCGTTGGGTTAGATGCAGAGGCTAAACTTACACCCTGCCATACAAGAACAAGACATGGGAACTAGCACCGAATTGCTCTGAAAACATGAGAACCCCACCCAAACAGTAACACGAGTTGCATTCCTTAAATAAAAGTGTTAGGATTGGAAAACATACATTTTTCACTTCCCCCCATCAGAATATTGAAATTAAAAGAGACCCAGAAAATATATTTGCCAAGCTTCCAAGCCTACCCAGACCTGTGTGACAAGTTCATTTTCCTATGAACCTCAGAAAGACAGACACGGGGCATCTTCACGATATTTGCATACCATAGTTTTCATTTGCACTAAGTATATACTTAAATCCCTGTGTTAAAGATGCAGGCCATCTGTGGCCTAACTTTGTAATACACACCACATTACCCCATAGAAAAGCTGCTCAACTCCTACAACAGGATCCAACAACATACAAATAAAAGAATATCGATCCGTTTTTCCATAACGAAATTCTCTTCAAATAAAATAAAGTCATTAATAGCTTGCAGATTTTTCCATAGGCCCCCCGCCGTACCCCCGGCAAAGCAACGCTGGAAATGCGACGACCTCCTCGTCAGAAGAACAACTCGGCATAGCCTGTACATTTTCCTCAGCTGTTTTAATGAGATCATTTAAACATCGCTCAAACCGACTTTTTCAGCAAGTTACTCAGTAAGAACCATTCTATGATTCCGGGGAACCTAACTTACAGATAAAAGTGCTCTCGTACACGAGAAGGGGAAGCCGACCGAGAGCGGGTGGCATTTGCGTTAGTACACCCGGCAGCTGGAAGGCCCAGCGCAGGAGCCGCGCACCGCCTGCTCCCACACTCGGGCGGAGTGAGTAGGCGCCGAGGGGGAACTTTCCCTTGCGGTGGGTAAAGCCTTACGCAGAGAGGGGGCGGAATGGAAAGCTTCCCCCCAAGAGCAGCTACACCCTGGAGATGGGTGGAGAATAAGGAGAGAAGCGAGAACCTTCCTCAGCGGCAGCTACACCCTCGTGCACAAGGCTAATGGGGGAAGGGAAATGGGAACCAACGCGGCACCGACGGCATTGTGCGGGGAGGGGGAGGGAAGCACGGACTCTCCCGGGCTGCCGCCGCCGCCTCAGCCAGCTTGGTCTGCAGCCAAACCCCACAAGAATGCAACACGGTCACATGACCTCCGGCGGACGTGCAACTCCCTTCCCTCTCCAGGGAGACCCTGCGCCATCTTGTACTGACGCAGTTACAAAAGCAGGCACGAGTTGCTCCTCTCTCACTCTTCCCCCGCTCCTCTCCTCACAGCCCCGGCGCTGTTTGGGAAGGAGAAGCCAAGGCCTGTTCCTGCCTTCCTCTTCACCAGCTCTTCGGGGATCCCCCGCCCGTGAAGTCCTCCCTCGCGCTGGGATCATGGCGCCCGTTTTCTCCCTTTGCACCAGCCTCCCCCGGCAGCTCCCCAACCCTGCCCAGCTGCGGCTGCCCCTGCTGCAGGATGATGTCAGCGCCAGCCAATCAGGGCGCGCCGGACTAGCCCGGCCAGCCTCGCTATTGGCTCCCGCGCAGCTCCCGCCCCCCTCCTGACTCAGTCTCCGCCGCGGTTCGCTGCGGAGCCGCAGCCAAGGCACAAGTGGGGGGAGGGGAATAGGAGGGGAAGGAAAAAAAAAAAAACTACACAAAAAACCGACAACCAAACCCACCAAGACGCCAGCCGCCATTTCGCGCAACAACAGGCAGAACCCGAGCGAGCAGCCCCAGGCAAGCACCCTAAGGAGAGAGAGAGGGAGAAACAGAGACACACGCACAGAAGAGTTAGACAGGAAAAAATACCCATAGACTCCGCCGTGATCACAAGACGTTTAATCGCCCCCCTCCTCCCTCAGACTCAATGCCCCATTACAGCCGCCTCCTCTGCGTCCAACCAGCTAGCAGATCCCTTCACCTCGGCTCCCTCCTGCCGCAGCAGCAGCTGTTTAGAGCCCCAAACTCTCTCTGCTCAGGGTGTGGGGGGACGCTAGTCTATGGCGCTGCTGCTAACTGCTCCTCCAGTCACCCGATTGTGGCGGCTCCATCGAGGCAAGGTAAGAGCTGCCAGCCCAGCTTTTATCTGGTGCCCCGAGTTTGCGCACTGAAGGAGGCTCGCTCAGCCCCTGGTGGGCGTCGAACGAAACCCCAGCCGCCGCCTCCCCTCCCTCAATCAGCCATATCGCTGGAGGGGCTGAAGCCGGGCAGGGAAGGCAGGGCGGTGCGCGGGCAGAACAGGAGCTGGGAGGGGATATGGCGAAAGGAACAGGAGCTCGGTACAAACGGCAGAGGCTGCGTCTGCCCCGGAACGTTGAGCGAGCCTCTCGCTTTGCCAGCTCCCGCTGGTCCGGATAAAAGCAGACCATACCTGCTCCCCAAGGGCCGTTCCCTAAAGGGGAAACTAGGCTCGTTCACTGCTCCTCTCGTTCCCTGCAGAAACGAAACGCCTTCAGCTAGTGCTGTCCCACTCGCGTTAATAAAAGCAGCTCTCTCCCACTTGCCTTATATATGAGCCTTAAATGCTTCGGGGAAGATTCTCAGCCTCAAGTGTCTTATTGAGAGACTTAGTCAAAACCTCCACATCGCCCTGAACGGTTTCAGTCAAAGCTCCCGTTCCCTCCCCTCTCTCGCCCCCCTCTTCCCCGCCCCTCAAGTAAGTTCCTCTGCGTGTGCGAGAGCCGGCGGGTCTGCCCAGCTTTTCGCGTACTTTGTGGCGAAAATTTACTCCTCAGGTCGAGATTCGTAGAGAATCGGTACGCTGAGAGTAACGACGGTCGTGAGCAGGAAGCCGGAGGTGGGGAGGGGGGGAGAACAGCAAAGGAGGGAGTTCTGGCGTTTCTGCCTCAGAGGATGCAGTTCTGAGTCAGACATCCTCCCGCCCGCGTTCGGTTCCACAACAGCCTGGGTCGGAGCCCCTGCCCCTCCCCCGCGGTCTGCGCCTCCGGGGCTGCGGATCGCCCCCGGCACCAGCCCCAGCTGCAGCCGCCCCTCCTCCGCTGCCCTACTTCCCTCCACACCTCCTCACAGCCCCCCTGCCCAGCCCTTGCCGCAGTCTGGTGTCTCGGCCGCGCCCAGACCCGAACCGTTCAGCGTAACGAGCAAAGCGCTGTTGCAAAATGGACACTGAGGGCTCGGCGGGCGCAAGCTGCACTCCCAGCCCATAAGCAAAATGGCGGCTGTTTGGCTTCGCTTTGGTAACCCTGCCCCTGCCAGGCGGGGCGGGTGAGCCCCGTGCAGTGGGAGGGAGGGGAGAGCGGACGCCATTTTCCCAGAGAGAGGCAGTGACATAGAAGGGAGCGTAGGAGGCTGAAAGGAGGGAGACACGGGAGCAGCGGCGGCAGTGGGGTTTGTACACAGGTCCCAAGGCAAAGGCGCTTCCGAGCTGGTCCCTGTAGGGTTCTGCGCACTGAGCTAGGTTTGGGGGGAGGGGGGGTCTCCTCTTTCCTTTCTTTCCCTTTTCTTTCTTTTACCAGAGCCTGCTGAGGGTTGAGTCCTGCCTAGGGTAGGATATCCGCAGTGGGGCTGTTGCATTGTTTTGGTTGGGACAGAGAAGGGGCTCAGCTGAGGGGTCCTGCTGCCTGGCCTGTGACCATTACAGGTGAGTCTTTGGTTATTACCAGCGTATTCTGCTGTGGGTGCTTTGGGGAGGGGGGTGGCAAAAAGGGAGTGAAATGCGACGGGAACGTCTCATTGCCCCCGGTGCGAGTATAACTCTCTTCCACCCTGAAGTGTGTTGAAATTCTGTTTAAGTTGCCTTGAATTTGTTTTTCCTTTTGTGGGGTTTGGTTAAAAAATGGCAGGCTGTCGCTATATCTTGTGAATATGGCGGGTTACTGTAACTGGAGGAGCTGAGGAGAATTTTTTGGCGGTTATGCCAGATTTATGCATTATGCTTGGAAAAAGAGCCAAAAGGGGCTATTATGTGACAATATAAGCTTCCTTAGACTGGTGATTTTAAGAACGGGTATGTATGTTATCGGGACTGCGTATTGAGTTTTATGAAGCTTAGGGAAACCTATTCTCTTCCTTCATCCTGTATATTTTTGCTTTGTGGTACTAAAATGGCTCGTTATAGGCCTAATCTCTCTGCCTTCCACACCCCCGCCTGCTTTCCTCCCTCCCTGCTAGTATCTCCGCTCCGTGGTGTAACCTGGACAAACGGAAAGCAGTCCTCAAGAGTTTCTGAGCCAATTTTAAAGGGGATCATTCTCTCCACCCCCTTTCTTGAGGGTGTAAGTAGTTATATTGGTGCATCCCTTTCTTGCTTTAGTTTCTGCAGCCAGTGTTCGTGTTCCTTGGGTGGCATATTTCAATCTCTTTCTTAAAGAAATAAATATTGGTGGGGTGGACCCTATTGCTGCAGACATAGGGGAGGAGAAACAAACGGTTCACTGTGTAGTACTAAATAGGGTAGAGAAACATAATATAGCATGATTATAAAGGTCCTGTATTCCCCCATACTCAGCCATTAGGGAATGTGCCGTGGCTAAAAGCCCTGAGGTCCCTAAAATGGTACATACTACGTGTCGTTAAAAGCAGAAGTTTAGTGCTGCATCTAGATTTAGGAATGTGTTAGTCTGTTTATTTACAGTACCTTAAAGGAATAATAATGAAACGTTTTTGTTATTCAGGGCTCAGATCAGAGAAAAGAAAGAGACATCCATGGCTGTACTTATAATACATGATTAATTGATTATAATCGCTATACTTTTAAAGTTACTTTTCAAAAAATGGGGAGCAAATTTTTTAATTTCCCTCTTTTGTCCTTTAGAGATTCTAAAAATGGCGGCCTCAGGCTGATGTTGTGGTAATCTAATCAGCTCGGGTCCTCCACACCCCATGCAGTGCGTTTGTCTGCAGCATATTAGAGTCGTCTTATGTTTAAATGAAAAGACTGTTCCCTTCAAATAACGTACAAAAGATCTCTTGACTTTACTGCGATTTAAAAATGCTGTGTTCCAGCTGATTAATTTTATTGGTTATGTGTGTGAAAGGCAAGTGAACTAGACCACTCTTGTCGGGGAAAAGGGGGGTGGAAAGAGGCAACAGACTCAAGCAGCTTCTTTGAGGGGTGTGTATACGTTGGTGTAAGGTGATATGTATGTCGGTTTAATAATTTGGAAAAGCTCCTGCGTTTGTGATGGATACTGTACATCTGTCCGTTCTATTAACGACATAAAAGCAGTAATATTTGTCAAAATAAGTAGTGGATTAAGATCACTAAAAGAGTTAGCTAAATTCTTTGTGGAATCACATTTGTGAACGTCATGTTCACCTTCCAGGAAATACCTTTGCTGGACATCGGGGTAGTAATTCTATGTATTCATAGTTTGAGAATACTAAAATAACTTAATACTTAGGGAAATAATGCATGCAAGATTATAACCTGTTACTTTATTAAGACACGGAATTTTTTCTGCCAGCATGTAATCTTGGTATTACATTTTTTTCTTCAGTTTGTTTTGTATATTGCTGTATAAATTGTATATGTGGTAATACACATACAAATACTGAGGGAAAGTGCAGTTCCTAACCTCTATAATTTTTTTCCTAAATGAAATATGAACCTTTTAGTATCACCACTATAAATACGTTTGGGTGGGGGGAAGGGAGGTCACAAGGATTTATTATTTGGTGTAGTGCATGCTGATACAAACTATGGAGGCTGCAAACTGTACGTTTTAAGCAACAACAACAAAAAAATTTTCACTTTTTTTTATTTTTGGATGCCTGTCTTTAATCTTGTCCTTGGTTTAATGAGGTATGAATTCCTATTCTAGTATAGCTTTGGAACCTTCTGGATTTAAACAATCAAAAGTGAGGTATTGAAATGGCAAAACTGTCTCCAATCTCTGAAGAATTTTAATTTAGATACCGTTTAGAAGCACTGATGTGTGGTTTAAGGTATACCTGAAGTTGAACAATAAGATAGTAAGACTTTTAGAGTGTTGTTAATGCATGCTTTTCGTGTGTTTTGAAGCCAAAGGCTGAGTGATTTCAACCACCAAGTGATGCGTTAATAGTCCAGTAATGCATGCTCCCATCAAAACTTCCTTATTCGTATAGATTTTATTTTTTTTAATAAACCATGTCTTACTCTGTTTATTAACAAGTACATGAATAACATTCTAAAGAGTGTATGTATGGGCCTTTTTTGAAACCTTTTGCCTTTTTCTTTCCTCTCCCTAGGTTTAAAGTTCCTGTTGTGAATAATTTTTTTAACATTATGACTTAGACTACAGAGCTGTGTAGCCCTCTAACTGCATGGCCGCAGTCATGTTCTCAAGCAAACATATGATTCAGGATTAAAATTAAAAGAAAATTATTTTTTACATGTTACAAAAAGTGTTCGGGGGGTGGTGGTGGTATGAAATAAACCCAAAGATTGAAATACTTACACTCAAATTTTACAGCTTATCTTACAGATTGCAAATTTTATGCACTAAGAACCTCTTGGGAATTTTGAGATCTTCCAGAGTTTTCCTGTATGAGTTTTAGTGAGTCAGTTTGCCTTTGTGACTCAGTTTCTCCATTTGTAAAAACAGATCAGTGATTTGTTTTAAGGAGACAATATTACAAAGGTAACTCTGCCTTTATTTTTTAACTCCATTGATGTTGATATGTTAAAGTATATTCATAAAAAAATAAATACCCCCCCAAAACTAATAAAAACTTGAAAGAGGGGAGGTTTGAAATCTAAATTTCTTTTTTTCAAGAGACATTCCTGATTTACAAACATTGTGTTACAAATGCAGTAATAAGGACTGTAGTTCTAAAACCGTTCTGTATCTTCAAGCTTTTCATATCTGAAGGAAAAATCTGCTTAACTGTCACTCAGACTTTTGGGTGAGCTTTTTTGCCATCTGGGTAATTTCAGAGGGGAAATAACACTGGCTTTTTAGACTATATCTAGGGAAAGTTTCTCTTAGCACTAAAACTCAGATTACTTTTAGGAGTTGCATTACCTCATATCTCTGGTATAGTCTTAGCACACACAGCTGTTAATATTCTGTTGGAAAGCAACAAATACAGAAGTCGTTGTCACACTGAAGGCTGTAGTGTCTCTCTAGTCCTGATCTCAGTTTGATTTAAGGACAGTCTTAATTTTGCATGCGTGCTAATACTAATTTTAGTAAGGACTATTTGTGGGACTTAGTTAAGGAGTGG